TTAATACCTTTCTAGTTACCATTTTTGTCTGAGTGTCGTTACGTATAATTTTACTATGTGTGTTTACTCACTTTAACAGTGCTTTATTGACTGCACAGTTCAGTTACACCATTTAACTCCCCTTATGTAATGCCCTCCTGAGGGCCTTTAAAAGTGAATAAATAAAGTGGCTGTGTTTAGGAGCTCGTGTCGCGCCGGCCTCGGTGCCGTGCTGAAAAAGCGGTCGTGAAGCAAAAATCCTGATTGGTCGATAGGGTCAAGACGTCACATTCATATGATTTAGGCTCATCTGACTGGAGGAGTGAACAATTTCCATCCATCGCAGAGGAACGGAACGATTCCGTCCGTCGCCGCGAGTCCGCCCAGTGGTGCTACGATCTTGTCGTCATCGTTAGTCTGTTGAGAATGCGTACCCAGCCGCGGGCCGCCGCAAGCCGCCGTGAGAAAGCACGTGTGCAAAAGATGCGGTGCTGTCTACCAGTGCGGGGCGCTCTTCTGAGTCGTCGTCTTCTACGAGTGCGGATGCCGCATCTACGTCTGCTCCTGCTCGGCGACGGGGTCGGCCATGAAAGACTGAAGCCGAGAGGGCGAAAACGAAGGCTAGGCGTGCAGAGGCGATGCGCTGCAAGTAGGCCAGTGATGATGACCGAATCCTGGGTGGCCTGGGATCTTCTTGGAGAACCGGAAAAGCAAACCCCGCCAATGGCAACAACGGTGGCTGTTGTAAGGTTAAGATGGGTGGCCAAATAGCCTTGCAGCCACAGGCTTGGAGCTTCAGGCAACCAGAGGTCTGATTCCCTTGCAAATAAGGCACACAAATTCTCCCACAATCTCCCTTCTGCGGTTCCATGAAGCACGTCGCTTCATCCACGCATATTGCCTACAGTGCCACCGTCACTCAGTACCGCAAATGATCGCCCACCACCTGAAATTCTCTAAAGGATTCCAAAAGTGAGGTGCGCCCTTACTTCACTGCTTGAAATCAGATTGCACAAACACCCAATTCACACTTTAGCAACTTCCAAATGATCAACGATTCCAATTGTCAACACTGTGGGGCACGGGAAGATATTAAACACATGCCTCTTGCCTGCTCGGTAAGTACAGACGAGCGGAAGAACCACTGCAATTGCCATGCAGGTAGTGGTCTTTCCCAGTCAACCGTTGAAGATCACCCAGGTGCACCACGCGGAACTGCGGACGGAGACTTCAAAGCTATTGAAAAGTGTTTGCGGAAGACGGACCTGGTGAACCGTCTAGGGAAGAGACATTCTGAACAGGAAGCCGAATCAATTGTATTCGTTTGAATACTATCGACCTTGACTTTCCACTTGAACAATATAAAATTATAGAGTAAGGACACATTGGATCCACCAAGCTTGGGGCGTCGCACTCCCGTCGCACACCTGTTCAAATAACATCTAATAATTCGATCCCAGCCATAAGTGTCGACACAATCTCGTTCAACCATTCTCGTTTTTTCCTATTCCCAAGCCGGGGTAGTGACTTGCATCGTAAATGAGGCACACACATCGCCCGGCTATCGCCCTTTTCCTCGATAAAACTGAGAAAAACAAAAAGAAAGAAAAAAACAGCAGAGAAGCAATTAACCTTGGACGACAAAACGATCTGCCAATGTGCGAGCCCTACTTCTAACAAAGACCAACATGTGCTTCGAAGGAATTCAAAGGGAAAAGCAAATTAGCCGCAGCGAGGCTTTCTATATCTGGTCGTCGTTTTACTCGGAAATGTCTTGTTGAGTAAGCGCGTAACAATATTACAAGTTTTTTTAGGAATCCGGAGTCTACAGTACCAAACGACTTATTACATGTGGCAGTTGCCGGCGAATGCGAACGCTAGCTAATTACAGACGACAGTTGCGTCGTCTGCTGTTATCCATAATTTTATGAGAGTACCTACTTACAATAAATCTCGTCATCATTATCGTCATCATCATTCTCATCATGACCAACGTTACTGGGCAAGCTCAGTTTCACAGCCCCCTATTCTCGCCTGCGGAAGCGAGTGGCCCAGGTGGCGGTCACGAGAACTAGTGGCGCTGCAGTCGGATCTTACTTCCCTGTCTCGCGCGTCGGCTGCTACCCACCGTGTTGAGAGCTTGTTCCTTTTCTTTTTTCTTTTTCAGTTTCCTTTTCTTCCTTGTTTTTTTTTTTCTTTTTTTTTTTTACTTCCATGTGTATACACCTTTTCCGCGTAGTCGTCGCCATCTTGTGTGTTGCAGCGACAGCCGCGCCGTCTGGCGTACGGTTGTTGCGCACCCATTTTGGTACGCGGAGAGCAGCGTTGTTCCTAGCTCCGGCGTTGTCCCCATTGACCCCGTGCATCGTATCTTCATTGTTTTCCCTTTAGTAAGCTCTTACTTTGTTTATTATTGAAAGTCTGAATTATTCTTGTGTTCTGGCGTGTTTATTCGCCTTCATGGCTCCCGTTGTTGCGCCAACAGCGCCGAGAGGTTCGTCGCCAGCGTCGCCGGTAATCGAAATCGGAGGCATGTTCACTTTTCCTGAGGACGTTTACCAGTGTTTACCCTTCGCGTGTTGTTGTTTGTGAAGAATGACAGCCTTCTGCGAATGACTAACGGTGGGTTTCTATGCGCGAGCGAGGGCGACCCTGGGAATAAAAGTATCATCGTTTAATCGTAGAAATACTCACAATGGGAGTTGGCGACGCGGGCCGAACGGTTTATTGTTATGGTGCACCGTCAAGGTACAATCGCTAGTTACCGGGACATCTGTACTTCGTATGACGCTCAGATGCGTCGGAACTATTCAGGAGATGGGGGTGAAAGGGGGGGGGGGGGGGGGGGGGGAAGCGGGGGGGAACGACGACCACGACGATTTTGCGCCCTCTTTTCGTATTGTTTTCATTAACGTATTTTAACGGGCGTAGCTACCGAGCAACACACAAAATTATAGTGCACATCCTCGTAGGAAAGAACGGAATGAAAAACAAAACTTGAGTAGCCAATAACAATCATTATACCCAGGGTCTTACATTTGCACCACAAGCTGCAAAATTCGTTCTACATCTGACTTGTCGAGGCCTATTACTGCACTTGTAGATGTCCGTTTCTATACTGGCTATTTGCTTTTTTTATGTGCTGATATTGTATCGCTTCCCCACTGATATCAGCGGGGAAGCGATGCAAAGTGTATACGTTACAGCCGCATTCGCTTTGCGACTTCTTGTGTTCGGTGCACAATTTGTCGCGCGCTATTTTCCGTTTTCGGAAACTGCTGCTGCAGCCAACGACTGCACAGTGGCAGCCCGATGACGAAATATGCGCGGACATGATACATCGACGTATTAACCCACCTTATTTCAACTCACTTCGCTGTCAAGGGCTTCAAAACCCATTTAACGCGCACCACTTCAGCATCTTGCCAGCCGGCTAGGCCTGCTCCCGCATACCGGAAGTTTTAGAACCGGAAGAACTATTCCCGCTGTGCGCCGAGTCGCCGAGTCGAGGCTACGCACATTACGCGCTGGGTCGAAGTTAGACGGAAAAGGTGTATAGTAGCAAAAAAGATGTTGAAGATGAAGTGTAATACACCACAGAGATGACTGTCAGCACAGCGTGAAAGTTCTTTCTTTGAGTGTTTGAAATTTATTTTTGTGTGCGTCTGTTTCCTTGCGCTGTGAAGTGTTAGAATGAATCACCAACTCGACCAAGCTCGGGTATTGCTATTCAGACTTGGCGGGCTAGACAATCCGGAAGTAACCGCCGAATTCAGAAACCTCACTCAAACTACACTCAAACTGAAGGGCCCCTCTACATCCTCGAGGAAGTGGAGGGGCCCTTCAGTTTGAGTGTAGTTTGAGTGAGGTTTCTGAATTCGGCCGTAAGACTCGACTGCAGCGCTACTAGTTCTCGTGACCGCCACTGAACCCACGCCGCAGGCGGAGCTGTGAAACTGAGCTTGCTCCAGTAACATTGATCATGACTTCTTTTCCCAACGCCAATACTTTTTGTGCTTGTGCAAGGTAACGCACTCGGCTTTTCTCAAAAAAAAAAAAAATTTGGGTATGCGTATGTGTACACAGAGCTTGGTCTGCCTCAACGGGCGACGAGTCTCCCAGCTGTGGATGAGAAATTTAGCCACTGCAGTACAACCGCTAGCTGGGGTCTTTAACGTGCATTACGCAGTAGTGATACACGACCGCATGCCGGTACGATGCTTATCCAAATCGAAACGGGCAGGGTTGGGGATTGAACCCAGAATCCTTGGGTTCTGCGGCGCTCCGAGCTGGTGTGCGCTAGCCCACTTAAAGCCCCTTCATGTTTCAAAAGTAGCGCAAGGTGCGTCGATGCACGAAGCACGTTCAACGTGCATCCCTTGGGAAGATCATGGCGGCACAGCGCAGCACTGAGCTAGTTTTCAGACGCCATGTTCTTCCTGTCTCGAGCATTTCCACAACAATGAATGGCGACACCTTTGCCAGGATAGAGGGGTTTAAAGCGCACTCGGCCACCGATCCCCCAGGTGCTCTTATATTGGCCCGCCCCTCGGCGTTTCGATGCGCCGAAGACGCATGTTAGAACACTTGCTCGGCGTACGAGACATACACTATACTTATGATCAAAATTATACAGTGGATAAGTGGCGCAATCCGCCGTCCCTTTCTATAGGTTATTCATCTACCGATATAACTGTAGGAAAAAATCGTTCAGCCTTTCCACTTTCGTGAAAAAGGAGGACCAGCGGAGCTGTACTCGATACACTGTGTGCTTCTTCTTCGTAGTCGTCTGTTCTTCGCGCTGGTTCCTGCGATCAATTCCCACCAGCGTGACCAACTATTCATTCTTCTATTATAACTGAAAAGGTTGCCGCCATCTACGAGCGACGGCGGAAACCATACTGGTTGTGTGCTTGCCGCCGTCGTTTATAGATGGCGGTAGTTGTCCAGGCTGGTTGGTGTCGACATACCGGACACGATTCTGGGGAACCTAGCCCTTAACAGCTCCGCTGTAAAAAAACTTATTTGATTGTGGCGGGTGTGCCTGGGAAGGTACTGCGGTATTGAATTGTCGAGGCGGTTAAAAAATCTACCTGAAAAATCTTGCACTTGAGTACAGGGCACTCGGCTTCGCCGAAAGGGATGCTGTTGTCGACGAAAAAGCCCCGGGCAACCGCTTCAAGGAACTCCACGCCAACGACGCGATGCCCCTTGCTGTAGAACCTGATCACGACGATCGATGCGTTACAATCAAATTACAATCAAAGTGACATAGTGTACATCCCACATGAACCGAGAGTCTACTAGCGCAGCATTTTTGTTTTAGTGTCAAAAATATGAGGTGCGATGCCGATATCTTAATAACAAAACAATAATACATTATTATATCTTAACAAAAAACATATTGACACTACGCACTATTCTTTCCAAGGAATGTGCACATGGTACATAAGGCGTGCCATGTGTAGTACACCTGATGGTTGCTCCTGGAATGAATCGACACTACCAGTAACCATAATCATAAACCTGGCAATCTTCCAGGGCCTTCCAGACTCGCGAGCATTCCTTCCTCAGTGCGCACTGATGGTCGAGCTCCTCGTCGCCTACCTCACTCCTCCTCGCCACCACTCTGATCGCACGGCTTCCCGGTAACCAATCAGCGTGGAGCACCTCGATCCTCCTCTTCCACCCGTCAGCAAATCAGTGTCGAGCGTCGCGGCCATGGTTTTATCTCAGCTTCACGAACTGCCGAATAGGTAGCCAAAGATAGTTTCACGTAAAAAAAGAAGCATTGCCTAATTCTTATAGTGCACCTGGGCACAGTGGGCATGTGGGGCGTCCCACATCTTTATCCTCTACATGTGTCCTAGCAATACCACCTAGAAAACAGGGCTTGCGCATGACGTCATCGGTAGTTGATCCCTGACCCCGCCCAGAGCGGAAAACTTGGTGAGGCACGACAAGAGGCACCGCAAAGCGACAGACGCGTCCGTCTTGGACGCGTCTGCTGTCATCGCACATTGCTGTGAAGAGCTGCAAGAGGCGCTGGCGGCAATGCTGACGAAAGGTGCTGGGCGAATCTGCTATTAATGTCGTTTGGGGCACAAAAGCGCAAATCTTGTCCATTATGAGGCATATATATATATATATATATATATATATACAACACGGGCACTTCACGTCATCGTACGTGGTCTCCGAGGAGGATATGAACGAATATGTGCAGATCAATGAACCGTACTTAATCCATTGAATCAAAGAATCAAAGTTTTCAGGAATCCGCCGAAAGCCAAAAAACGGCGGAGCCGTTTTTTGGCTTTCGGCTTTTGGCTCAGTTGTGGGGCTCCTGCAGAGGGAGGAGGGGAGGGGGGGGGGGGGGGGGGGGGGCGTGGAAGAAGGGTACACCTTCCTTCGCTTCAATTCGTGTCCCGCTGTTCAAAGCGCCATTTAGGTTTTAACTTCAAAACTATGTTTTCTATATATTACGGTCAAACGCCATCTTGGCAGCTGTGCTTCGAGACATAGATATTTCATAATGTACATTGCAGTCAGTATAGAAGTAGTCCCCGTCAAACTGTTAAGCGTCAAACGATGGGAGGCAAGCCGTAAGGATAGAAAGGGAAGGGGTGGGGGGTGGTAAGGGGGGACTGCTCGCGCAAGCAGCGTAATGAGCAGTTCCGTAACTGAGCTAATCTAATAGCGTTGATGATTATCAAGTCTTGCTACAGTGTACTTGTAGTCTTGTTAATGCTTGTACACAGTTACCAGACTGGCGCCCAAACCAAGAATTTTTATCCACACCACAGATGCCCGCAGACTATACAGCCTTGGAGCGCAGCTGCCTGCAAATGTTTATGTCTGTGGGAGCCGACTGAAACCCTAAAGTCGGGGTCACACTGCTCATACATCATACAAAAGAGAGTCTGCAAACACGAGTCACCGCAATATCCTTGGTTCGAATGCAGCGGGCCAAGTTCTGTCCCTAAACTCATTGCCATGCGGCATTCGAAGCACAGATCACGCGGAGACTCGCCTTCGAATCTGTATGCAGACTGTCTTTCATGTGATGTCTAAGCAGTCTAACCCCGGTTTAAAGCCGGGGTCACTGTGGTATACATCCTACCAAGGATAGTCCGTAGACACTTCCTGAGGCATGGTCCTTCCTCATGTGACGTCCCATTAGTCATACATACGCTGTCTTTAGACATGTTCGAAGCGCACATACGCATGAGGCAGGCGTGCTTTTAACTATGCGTGTGGCTTGCCCGCAGATAATTATGTCATCCTGTCTGCGTCCAACACCGTGCCTTTTGTATGACGTTTAGCAGTGTGACAGCCGCTTAAAAAAACGCAAAAATGTCTTCTTTTTTTTTTTGTCCGCGTTATGTGGTTATTTTTCTGAGTCAACGGCTTCGAATGCGGCAGAAAATGTGACGATAACCGCCCTCACCATTTCAAGTCAGGCGCCTTTCCACACATCGGGAGGAAGACCTGGGCATTCTGTTTTCCCGCGAGAATGACGTCCTGGTTTTTCTCTAGGAGCCTGCGTAAAAGGACAGACGACCAATGCTACGATGCTGTTTTCGGACGACACGCGTACAAGCATGTATGCATACCAGCAAGCAACCAAGTACGGTTTCATTGCCCTTTTAGAGTACGTTAACACGTAGTTTTTTTACCCTTTTAAGGTTCATTGGAGTGCTACACTGTTTGAACAAAGTCGTCATCTTATTTTTTGCGCTCTTACGGATAAACTCCGTCAAGTTGCCACGGCGTGTTCCCGTTGTTCCAGCGGGTGATCCAGAACTCGGACTGCGGCACGTCGGACGTTCCTTCCGTTTCTACCATGCTGGCTTTGAAGGATGAAAAACTGCATAATAAAAACACAAGCTCGGGTTCCATCTTGGTGAAAAAGTATTCAATTCAGGCACGTTGGACATTCCGTCTCGATTGGACATTTCGTCTCGTTGGACATTCAGGCTCGTTGGACATTCCGTCTCGATTGGATCTTTCGTCTCGTTGGACATTCAGGCACGTTGGACATTCCGTCTCGATTGGACCTTTCGTCTCGTTGTACATTCCGTCTGATTACGAGACGGAATGTCCAACGAGCCTGAATGTCCAACGAGACGAAAGATCCAATAATGGATATTCAGGCACGTTGGACATTCAGGCTCGTTGGACATTCCGTCTCGGTTGGATCTTCCGTCTCGTTGGACATTCAGGCTCGTTGGACATTCCGTCTCGGTTGGATCTTTCGTCTCGATGGACATTCAGGCTCGTTGTACATTCCGTCTCGGTTGGATCTTTCGTCTCGTTGGACATTCAGGCACGTTGGACATTCCGTCTCGCCTGTCACGTGCTAGAATAATTTGCCCTCTTAAATGTACAGACTTGTGTGTATATTTAGTCCGCGTCCCTGCAGGAATTGCCGTAGATACATCATACTAAAAGGTCGTGCCACAAAAGCCGACGTTGACGGACCGACAAAGAAACAGAGCAGACACAAATATTATAACTTCATCTATAGGAAGGCTTGATGGTTAGTTAGCTGAGTGCCGATGCGCAGCTACGTACCAATCGGTTAAGGGTGCCGATTTTACTACGCCAAACGCTTTTTTGATATTAACAGTTCAAATGTTTGGAATATTCCGATGACATAGATCAGCCAATTTGAAATATATAATAGGGATGCAATGTACGGGTGTTCTATACTTCGTTTCAGCTTCGGTCCAGACGCAGCCGATGCTACAAGCGCGAGCATGCGGCCCAGAACAGAGCTTGCACTGCACGAGCGCGCGTGCTGGGCAGGGATGCTGAAAGCCCGGAGCTCGCGCTTGTAGCTTTGGCTGCGTCTGTACCGAAGCTGAAACGAAGTATAGTGGATCGTAATTGGGGGATGTCTATAAAAGCCGCGCTTCAGAACCCAGGAATTTCTAGTTCAGTCCTCATCCCCGCCCGTTTCGATCTATAGATGAGCTACATACGGAGATCCGCATTGCAAACATATGACCGCCCGCCAGCGCCACTGACAATGCACAAAGTCAATATTTCATTTTTTAAAAGGAGCTTTGGGAGCTGTGGGTGCGAGGCATCAAGGGTTTTCCACAAGCGTAATTTCCCACTGATAAAAAAAAATATAGATATTTTTTTAAAATAAAATCTACATCTAACGCGCCTGTAAATGCATGTTGGTGGTGGTTAGTGTGACCCGACAATTCCTAAGTAAATGCGGAACAATTGTGTGAGAGAAATTTTTATTTTTGTTCGTTTATCTTTGGAACAGACAACTACTTACTGTACACTTCAGTCGTCAGTAGTTTACATACGCATTCATTCCCTACCAATAGGTTTGTATGTCAGTGAGTAGAGCGATAATACTAGTATCACACAGTACGCAACTTCTTTTTCCTTTTTTTTTTTTTTTGCATGTGACATGCATAGTGCTTTTCAGAAGCCCATGTCTCGAATCACTCAAAGCTCGCCATTCTGTCGAGGTAGTTCATGACGTCTTGGTAGGTGGGAAGCGAACGCATCTATCTTGGCGTGCAGCAGAAGGTTCACACCCGGATGTACTAATAGCCTGCATCATGTGTGAATATAACAATAGATCGTTCCACGTGGCTTTCTATTCTTGTTGGGTAAGCGCATTGCACCACGAATCCGGTCGCTTCGTCGAAATTCCATTGGTCTCCGGACAGCTGGAAGAAGGACAATTAGTCCCGATTCGCAGAATGAAGAAGGGGGCGAAAGTCCCCATTTGTCGAACTGTCGAAAAGAGTTGATTAGGGTTGGGTGTGTAGATTGCCGGTGACAGTGGGAGTCAACGGTGAGACCTTCTTTTCAAAAAAGAGAGGATGACAAATGCAGCTCTCAGAATTGGCAAGGGTCCGATAGTAAATCGTACCCGGGTTATTCAAAATGATAAAAGTAGGGTTCTTCGTATGTTCACTCGCAACTCTAGCATTATGGAATTTGGGAAGACCGAGCGAGGGGCTGAAATTCTGATGCCGTGGTCATATATGCACTTGTAATGTACGCATATGAATAAATAACGGTCGCACTGTCGCAGCGGCTCTGTGACAGATTTAGAACCAGTTGGAATCTGATCGCGGCCTTGGTATGCTACCTCGGCGCGTATCGGTGCGATTGCTGCATGCCACGTGACCAGGAAAGGCAGAAACGACGGAAGCCAACCCTAAAAAAGTATTGTAAGAATTATTAATATTACCTACTTGTTGCTTAATACATGGTTCACTGCGACAGCAATCACTTTGGTGGCCGAAGCATGCGAAACTAATCGTCGCGATAAGCGTCAATGTGCCGAATCCTCCGCACAATCACCGGACAAGAGCTCACCAATTGAGGAGATTAGCTGCACAAAGGCTTAATGGAAGGAACGTTGTATTCTATCACTGATTTTGATATGAGGATCAAATGTTTGTTTCTGGGGACCGAGAAGTCCAATTAGAAATTTCTAAAACTTTCACGTTCGTTCTGTAAATAGAAGAAAACAAAAACTATAACTTAGAGTAATCATACTACACCGACTTCACCTAATAATAATTATAATACTAAATATTCAATCAGGCGCTTTTCTCCCTTGCGAGGGACATCATCTTCGCGGGACTAGGGACACCAATAAGAAAAATACAGCAACTCGTACAATGCGGAAAAACCGTGGCTGAGGACGCTCGTGGGTCCCACATTTGTTTCCGCTCCAGAGGTACGACCTTCTAAAATCAAATGCGTGACAGGTTGTCAATGGTCAACCAACGAGTTCGGTCTTTGATCTTGTAGCATGTGTGACCTTTTAAACGTCTTTTTTTTTTCAATTATAGAAATCATCTTTATATCTAGATATATAAAACGAACAATAAATTATTTGTTTTGGGGATTTTATAAAGTCTACAAAATATACGAGCATAATTTTAATTTCATTTTGGGGACTTCACAGACGCAACGTCAGTGGGACAAGCTCAGCGGCATACCAAAATAGCCGTGTATCAAAAATCCCGGTACTCAAAAGCCCGGTGCCGAAGCGACCACATACCGAAATGATCGCGTACCGATATCTCCGCACCGAAACGTTCGGTTCCCCATTTCATCGAACGCATTTTTCACCGCCGTAACTATCAGTAATCCTACAATTCAACAAAGGAATGTCTTCTAAATTCTTTGAAAGGTTCATTCTATATCCCTTGGATATTCAGACTCGTTGGACATTCAGGCTCGTTGGACATTCCATCTCGGTTGGATCTTTCGTCTCGTTGGATATTCAGGCACGTTGGACATTCCGTCTCGATTGGACCTTTCGTCTCGTTGGACATTCAGACTCGATGGACATTCCGTCTCGATTGGATCTTTCGTCTCGTTGTACATTCCGTCTCGCCTGTCACGTGACCGATTGGACATTCAGGCTCGTTGGACATTCAGGCCATAAGCGTTCCGTCTCGCCTGTCACGTGACCGATTGGACATTCATGCACGTTGGACATTCAGTCTCGTTGGACATTCAGGCCATAAGCGGCTTCTAAGCGCTTATGGCCTGAATGTCCAACGAGACTGAATGTCCAACGAGACTGAATGTCCAACGAGCCTGAATGTCCAATCGGTCACGTGAGAGGCGAGACGGAATGTACAACGAGACGAGTGATCCAATCGAGACGGAATGTCCATCGAGTCTGAATCTCCAACGAGACGAAAGGTCCAACCGAGACGGAATGTCCAACGGGCCTGAATGTCCAACGAGACGAAAGATCCAACCGAGACGGAATGTCCAACGGGCCTGAATGTCCAACGAGACGAAAGATCCAGCCGAGACGGAATGTCCAACGAGCCTGAATGTCCAACGAGTCTGAATATCCAACAGATATAGAATGAACGTTGCAAAGAATTTAGAAGACATTTCTTCGTTGAATTGTAGTATTACTGATAGTTACGGCGGTGAAAAATGCGTTCGATGAAATGGGGAACGGGACATTTCGGTGCGGAGATATCGGTACGCGATCATATCGGTACGTGGTCGCTTCGGCACCGGGCTTTTCAGTACCGGGATTTTTTATGCACGGCTGTTTTGGTGTGCCGCTGAGCTTGTCCCATTGACGTTGCCTCTGTGAAGTCCCCAAAATTAAATTAAAAATACGCTCGTGTATTTCGTATACTTTATAAAACCCCAAAAAACGATGCATTTATTGTTCGTTTTATATATCTAAATATAAAGATGATTTCTATAATTTAAAAAATGACGTTTAAAAGGTCACACATGCAACAAGATAAGAAACCGAACTCGTTGACTATTGACAATCTGTCACGCGTTTGATTTTAGAAGAGTCGTTCCTCTGGAGCGGAAACAAATGTGAGACCCACGAGAGTTCTTAGAATCGTTAATCGTGCTTATCATCAGCCACAGTTTTTCCGTATTGTACGAGTTGCTGTATTTTTCTTATTCGTGTCCCTAGACCTGCAAAGATGATGTCCCTCGCATGAGAGAAAAACGCCTGATTGAATTTTAGTATTATCATTATTGTTATGTGAAGTCGGTGTAGTATGTGTAATTACACTAAATAGTAGTTCTTGTTTTCTTTTTTTACAAAACGAACGTGAAAGTTTTAGACATTTCTAATTGGACTTCTCGGTCCCCGGAAACAAGAATTCGATCCTCATATCAAAATCAGTGATAGAATACAACGTTCCTTTCATCAAGCCTTTGTGCAGGTAATGTCCTCAAGTGGTGAGCTTTTTCCGGTGATTGCCCGGAGGATTCGGCACATTGACGCTTATCGCGACGATTAGTTTCGCATGCTTCGGCCACCAAAGTGATTGCTGTCGCAGTGAACCATGTATTAA